TAGGTATGAGAGAGAGAGAGAGAGAGAGAGAAAGAGAGAGGAGGGTTCAAACGACACCGGTGTAACTTTTATTAAGTGTTACACCGCTCAATAACTTTATATTAAATGTGAATTTTATAAATCCAATCGTTAGATTGAAAGTTCATATCTCTTAAATCATATATACAAAATTTTATATTAATCCAAGATGATTTGATATTTCATTTTTATAAAACAAAATTGACGTAATATATTTATTTTAAAATATACTAAAATATGAACACTTTGATTACCCTCAAGTTGTTGTTCAATTTTAACAAAATTTGACATACACATATAAATTGATATGAACTTTCAATCTAATGGTTGAATTTATAAAATTCACATTTAATATAAAATTATTGAGTGGTGTAACACTTAGTAAAAATTACACCGGTGTCGTTTATACAATTTTTAATGTGTTTATCAATTAATTGTTTAGAAATTAGAGGTATTGTTTCATGGCTTTTCAACTTCTTTTTATATTGTTTTAATTACATATTCAGTTTTAAACATATCATTGCATGAAGTTCTATATATTGATGATATTTCTAACTTAGGAAGAGTCAACTTAGGGATTTGATGTTTCATTAATGGAATTATTAGTTCATTTTGAATCATGCTTAAATTAACTTTTTCTTCTTTTTCAGAAATCAAGTTTTTATCTAACTTTTCTTTACCTATAGATAACATTTTCATTCACTTAATTCATTTTTTTAATTTCTTATGTCACGCGTGTGTATGTGTGTGTGCGCACATGTGTGCATGTGTGAATATCCACTTATTTTAAAAGTAAGTGTAAGCCCCGTTCTTCTTCTTCCTTCTTCCCCTCAACACTCTCATTTCTCCTCATTCCTATTCTCTTATCCTATAATTCCTGAGCTTCCTTGTGGTGTTGTTGTGGTTGAAGTGCGGAGTAGAGGCGTGAGGAGCTAGTTGGAAGCCTGAATCTTCTTCCTCTTCTTCTTTCTCTTCCCCGCAGCTCGGATTCTTCTTTTACAAGGTGAGGGAAGTTAGATTGTAAACTTATTTGTTGAATGGGAGTTAGGAACTCATTGGGAGTAAGAATGTTGAGAATCATTGATTGATTTGAAGAATTTATCATTTTCGGGGTTTCGGGAAAATTGGGAAAAAATGGTGATTTTGATGCGTTTGATGGTTGCATGTTGAAATAAAGCTTGCTTTTGAGTCGTATGATGTAAATGTATTTCATTTCATGGATTGCATGTGTTTGAGTTGGCTGATTTTCAGGTTTTTGGTTGAAATTTTTGAAGTTGTGAGGGTTGCTGTTTGAGTTCGCGCCGGGCATAGTTCTTAGTACCAGGCGTGCGTTCATCAGGGAACTCCATTGTCCAATCACGTCGGGTGTGAGGTTGGTTGCGCCGGGCGAGATTAGGAATGAAAGTCTCTGGATGAATCACGTCGGGCGTGGGGAGAACCATGCCGGGCATGATATCAGATAGTGGCCCAAAATTTTGAGTTACTGATATGGCGCCGGGCGCGATCTTAGGAAATTTTTACGTAAATAATATTATTTTTTTTTTAAATTACAAAAATAACACCTGTGCAAGTATATTTACCGGAATAGAACTGATTACTGTTCATGCTCAGAATTCGGTTCCCCGGGAATCGAATTCTGAGCTTCAATATTTTTTTTTTCTCAGAATTCGGTTCCCCGGGAACCGAATTCTGAGTTGTTTTAATTTTTTTTTCAGGTTTGTGGCCCATTTTAGGCAAATGTTGGAAGTGGAACGGCCCGTTCCGGAAGCAGAACGGGTCGTTCTGCTTAAACACACAGAGTCTTTTTTTTGAAATTAAAACGGGCTAAGAACAGGTCGTTCCATAATTAAGTTTTAACGCAAAAATTGACCCTGAAACGGCCCGTTTGAAAGAATGATTTTAGTTATTTTTTTTAAGCTGGAACGGGTCGTTCTTGATTTAGAACAGCCCGTTCTGGTTTTGGAACGGCCCGTTCTGGGTAAACAATGAAAATGCTGGTTTTCTTATAAATAGGCTCTATACCCTTCATTATTTCCACAAGATTTCAGCTTACCTTCACTCCTTTATTCCTTCTGTCTACCCCTTTTGAATCACTTTCTTAGAATCACGTTCATTTCCTTTAAACCTTTCATAAAATGGCTTCTTTAATCTACGTTATTGTTCATTCTGATGGTTCCATTAACCAATGTCCGAATGAAGGAATCACCTTCTCCTCTCCATCTGCAAAATTAGTTCGTATCAAGAGAGGAATTACTCTAGAAAGGCTTCAAAGAGTCATCCACACAAAGCTACATCGACAAGATTCTGAGAGGGTGGCTAGCATACATTTTCGATACCCTATTAGACTTGGCCCAGGGGTTAGTAACTATACCTGTGTTGAGTTGACGGATGATGAAGACGTTGAGGCACTTTTCAATGTTCACGATTCTAATCAACTTCAATCAGGTATTGAATTATATGTTACATTTACTACAATTGAATCACATGCACCACAAGTTTGACCTTCACGTTCACCTTACGAAATTTATCAAAGTTACCAGAACACT